TCTTAGAAAAGATCCTTCTTAGAATCGACGAGCCGGGTAATTGTTTTTGGGTTAACACAAGTATAAAAAGGCCCATCCGTCTTCCATAACCGCTTATCACACACAGGTTTGCGGGGAGTCCATAGCCTATCCCAGGCAAAATACTGCACAAGGCAGGAGACACTCAGGAACGATGGACATGAGTATTATTTACTATTAAAAACTCAATGCCACTACTCAGCACATAAGGCACGGCTCTCCAGTTCCGGTCCTGGTGGGCTAGTTTGCAACACGGCTTGCAGATTTCCCTGCTCAGAGACACCTACTAAACGTGGTAATTAGCTGATTAAGATGTGTTTGAGGAGGGAAATCTGCAAATTGTGCTGGATTCTGGCCCTCCAGGACCGGAATTGGGCAACCCTGCCAAAAGGACTAGCAAGACCTCCTTATTATAACAACGGAATAAACAAATGAATCAAGATAAATAATTGCCTCTTCCCAATATTCAATAAAGAAGTAACCTAATGAGCACCTACAGTTTGGTTTTGGGTGGTAATTCTGTAAAGAACTAGGTAATGATGGCAAGAAACGACACTTCATGAACCATTCGCAGTATTTTTTGACACCACTAGATGGTGCTATCTGTAGAAAAAAAAGGGCTCAAAGCATGCCCCAAAGCAAGCCCCAAAGCAAGTCAAGAGCACCATCTAATGGGGTCAAAATATTCCGTAGATGGTTCATGAGGTGTCATTTTGGCCATCACTTGCACCTGTTTTATTACCAGCTCTGTTTCTACAGAAAGCCACTCTCCTGTGTCTGTCACTGACTGTAGGGATGCTGGCCCTGCCACCTCAATTGCCAGCGCCCCACTTCCCCTGCACCTGTGCTACCGCAGACCACATTACAGTGCTGGCTTGGCATGAACAATGCCCACAGGGCTGGTCATATCTCCATTAGAGATGGAGTTGTACACAGCCTAGCCTGGGCTGACGACGGGTGACTGACGGGGGAGCGAGAAGTGCTGAGCTACGGAAGCCTGAACAATGTTGCTCTTGTTTCTAGGAAATACCATTTTGTTGGCATTTTTTAAAGGGCCAATCACTTATACATTTAAACTTGTTTACTCAAGACAATGCACAGAGTTACGGTTAGAGAGTAGAATACATGGACGAATGCCTGTTTCTGTTAACAAGAAAGAGTTTCAGCAAGATAGTGTCCATTTCCTTCGAGATAAATTGGTTTCAGTTTGCAGTTTGTTTCGAGGGGAACGAAAGCAGAAGCGTGGTCTTAATCTGTAATCATGTATCTGTCCCGTCTACTTCCCGCTGCACACTCGCCGCTTCCAAGCTGATTAATAGAGAAGGCTGCACTTGGACGAATGCAGTGTCTCGCTCAATAAAAGTGGGGACATTGAGTGAACTGTCGCTCCTAATGAGATCGCAGGCGGCGAGCACCGGGCAGGCAGGAGACAGGCAGTCTGAAGGCCGGGATCCTGTCCTGTACATGCACGGGGGGGAGGGTCATATTAAAGCATTCAGTATCTGAGAGCGGATGAATAAACAGAAAGAAGAAAAGAAAAAATAGGCAAGGATGTAAGTCCTAGACCAGCATTTCCCAATCCGGACTTCAGGGATCCACAGACGGTCCATGTTTTTGCTCCCATCCAGCTCCCTGCCAGACTGTCCACATTTTTGCTCCCATCCAGCTCCCAGTAAAATGTGAACTGCATGTGGGTCCATGAGGACCAGATTTGGGAGACACTGTGCTAGACGGGAGCATGGAGCTGAGCCTGGGGGAGCATCTCCTGCTGAAACGACGGCACTGAGCAGCAAGCAAGGAGAACACAGCAATATAAAAGAGGGCTGAACCTGCAGGGCTAGAGGTGTCAGACTGGGGGGGGCACCAGCGAAGGCTTACAAATAATGAACAAATACACACCATTTCCCACATTTTCCATACTGTGGACACGTACACAGATATATATTTACACACACACACACACGCACGCACGCACGCGCGCGCGGTACCAATGTCAAAAGTTTGGATACACCTACACATTGACAAGTTTATTTGCACTATACTCTATATTTTACAATAATTCTAAAGACACCAAAACTATAAATTAACATATATGGATTATGCATTGACCACCAAAAAAGTATTAAACAAAAAATATACTTTTTGGGAAGGGGGCAGTTCTGTGGGTTGGGTTGCTGGTTCAAATCCCTGGGTCAGCAGAGTGATCATTGGGCCCTTGAGCAAGGCCCTTAACCCCAGTTGCTCTAGGGACTGACTGACCCTA